TCCACCTAAACATCCTTTAATCATCAGGTGGAATAAAAATGCCATAATGAAATTGCCTTATTCACGTTTAGTAGTTAACTCCTTCACTAAGGGACGCTACAAGGGGTTAAAAATCCGCCGCAACATAAGTGGGCGCCACCAGTCTGCTGCGGATAATAAACAAACCTGACAGCTGATGAGCGCTGCCCTCAATACACTCCACCACGCGTCTATTTTATTGACATTCCCTACATAACCCACTGATCAAACCGTCAACGTCCTTATTAATGATAAACACATTGGGGGATGCCTGGTATAACGTCAACTACTGTATCTTTGTTAAAGAGAAACCCTGAAATACTGTCAACCTTAAACACTGGGCACGGTGTGGGTAATGTTGTGGTGTAACGTAACCTGGAGAGTGAGTGTTACAGCTCCCCGACCTTCTGTGTCACTGCAGTCACTAGAAGGGGTTGTATGAAGCAGCCACTTACAGTGTTACCACCACCACCTGGCCCCCTGACTCTCAGTGTTACCACCCTAACTGTTGGTGATACATCGGTAACGCGCGTAACTCGCCAATATATCAAGGGTTCGAGCCTCGGCCCGGACACACGTGTGAGGGGTGTTATCCAGTGTGACCCTCACTACCAAACATCCTGTACGGGATAGACCAGCCGCCCGAACGACTAGCAAGCTGATAAGTGACGAAAATTATAAAAAAGTGCAATGACCTCGATGTTAGGTGAAGCATCTCCACTCTGTCGTTTTCAGCTTCAGAAATTTGTTACATTCCTCCCGCTGGTGTACTGGGCGGTGACAAAGAGGAGACGCCTGCCAACCTACGTCCCGAGGCCGTTTAGCACACGTGAGATACTGTTACTTTGTTCTCGTCGCTGCTCACTGCTTCGTATATTGTAAAGAGCCGTGACAACAGCCTTAAGGTGCGTATAGCATATGTTGTTTATATTATTCTTTGTAATTTTGTAAAGTGTTTGGTTAGGTTAGGTGGCAAGACTCAGGTTTACCTCAGGATACCGCTGTTGAGATGGCCTCTTGCCAGGCGCGGTGCTCCACATACCCGAGTGTGGTGCCAATCCTTACATCTCCCCCCCCCCCCTCACCCACATACATAAAACAAACGAATACACGCGCACCTACTGTCATTCAACACACACACACACACAGTGGGAGAATGTGAAGATAACTTGTTGACCAAGAGAGGCGAAGACTGGTTTGTTGTTGTGATGGAGGTGTTACTCTACTCTAATTGGATTCAGCCGCAGTAAAGTGTAGCGTACAGATTTTCATCACTGGCATGAAGTCCAGCTTTGTCCAGCCCTGGCCAGGTGAGATGGCCTGGTGACTAACTACAGTTGAGACTTGTGGACTCGTACAAATTTCTAAGTGGATTGACCAAGGAGGTAAGCCTAAGTGTATTTAATTGTGAAACCTTTTACAATAACTTGCCATCTCCTTTGATATAAATGTAATTTATTTTGTAAATAAATGTAAATAGTGTAATTTGACATTTACATATTCCCGTGATAACTTTACACCACTTGAGAACATGTTACCAATTGACTTTATACGCAGTGAATATAATAACTAATTATTCCCCCCAGACTCACTAACGGTTAGGGGCGGTGGCAGCATATGACTGATGATTAAGACGATATAACCTCTCGAGTGGGTTAAGGGAGATGAGCTTAAGATAAACAAATTATACCCCCGCCCCCCCCACACACATCTTGCCTCCACCTGTCACAATGTTCCTGTATTCTCAACAATTATACTTGGGGGGCCTCTGCGATACACGGACAAAATATCACCAGATGAAAATAATAACTGATAAAACTTGTCACTGGAGATGGTTGATGGCTCTTCTACTTATAACAATAAATAGCCCTCCCGCTCATACCAATGGGGTTAGGTTAGGTTAAATGGGGTTCTGTCCGTTGTTGTCTTTTTTGTATGCTGGCCGCTAACCTTGAGCAATGTTTTGGTTCATCTGCCCGGGGAGGTGGGACGAGGAGGAGGGGGGGGGTGGGGTGTCCTAACAGCTGGGTGATGTGTGGTACCTCCAGGCAGGGAAATGACGCACACTGACCCTATAACAGGAAACATGAGAAGGTAGACAGTGTCTACTATCCAAACTTTCTTATCAATGGTTGACTTAAACTTGTTAAAGATTAAACCCCACGAACTGGATTAATGGTAACACCCCAATGACGTTTTATTTGCATGTTCCTAATGGTCTATATTAGATTATATTCAACAAACTAAAATATTAATGTTAGTCGAGATGGCAACACCCCCTTGTTTTTTGCTGTATATTGTTAGGACCTGACAGGCGCGTATTAACATTGGTAATTTATTTCACCCACACCTGGAGGTTATCAATGTCTGTCAAAAGTCTGAAGCATCACGCCAGCACATGCATGAGCTGGTGAGGATGATATTACCAGCGGTGTATATCTTTACTCTAAACATACTCACTGGGTCACTTGACTTCCTGGTGTCGTCTGTATTGTGGGCGAGGTGGGCGTTGTTTACATGTAGCTGACGACACCATCACCCGCCCACACTCCGGCATACTAAGCGTGTCCTTGGCAGGGTGCCGGTAGGACACGTGAGATAATGATGTGTAGCTATAAATTTCCTAACTATGTCCAGCATAGTGGTTGGGTATGTTGAAGGCTGGTCACTCGTCCCTGTCGGTATGTTCCGTGGGGGTCACGCGTCCTCATCCTCCCCCTAAACATGTGCCGTCGCCTCCCCAGATAAGCCTCACATACCGTGTTGTTCTCGTCACATTCACTCCTCTTATCGCCTGATTACCTCAACAGTGGACATGATAAAATGGAGCTGTATTGGCTACCTCTCCTCACACACCCGTCTCTCTCCTTCTACTCTATGTTCAAAATTAGGTCTAATTTTATGGAAAACTAATATTAGAATACCTCGTCTACCGTATGTATGTGTTTGTCTTCTATAAGTGGTTGTTAATTCAGGTTTGTATTTTCAGATTTTTAAAGTTAGATATTATGGTCTAGATTTATTTTTTCACATTTGTTTTTATTTATTTTTAATGTTGATTCAAAAGACCATTGACGAAAGGTTTGGAGATCACGATTTAATTAATCATTCCTAACGAGTAAACCAATTAATCGGTGTCACCTTACATAATTAATACTATCCAACATTACAAGTGGTCACCTGCACACACTAACATGTGTTTCAGCGTTAAGAGGGCGACTCCGATAAGGTTAGATCTCATCGATAAGGTCCAATTAACTAATGCAGTGACATTTTAGGGGGTGTAAACCAGTTAGCGTGATAGTGTTTGTGAAACCTGCAACCCTGAGGCTATATTGAACTCCCATACTCTTTAATATTAGGTGTGTTGGCGGCAATCACCTGTACAAAGTTGAGGTTTGTTTACATCCGCTGGAGAGAGGGGCAAATGCGGCGATAAAGCTTCGTAAATTTTCACGCTCTTTTATTTCTCTAAAAAATATTTCCTCTTTTTATTCCCTCTTGTTTCTTCCGTTTACTCCACCTTGTTTCTTATTCCCAATCTTCCACTATATTATCTCCCTACCATCTATTCTCCACCTCAAAAGGTAAAGAATCTAATAAAATACACCAATTAATCCCTCCCCCTAACTCGGTATGTACCAAGTTGCAGAAGGGGCAGATCTTACCAAGGTGTACTAAGTGTTTTTCATAACTACGTACTGTATCGTTACACTTTATTATCCCCGACTTGTTTTTGTAGAACTGTTGTGAAAATATCTCTTGAAATGTATTTATTATTGTTATTTATTATCATTGTTAATATTATTATTATTATTATTAATATTATTATTATTGTGATGATGGATGCCGCGACACAAAAAATATACCCCAAAATCAGGTGATGTGGCGGGGGTGATGGTGACAATGGTAGTGATGGTGACGATGGTGGTGATGACAGTGATGATGGAAATGTTGGTGGATGTGTTGGTTGTGGGGTTGATATGGTTGTGGTGATACTGGCAACGGTGGTGGTGGTGACAGTGATAACCTTGAGTGTGTGGAAGGTGCGCCTCAGGTGTTGCACAATCCCTGCAGACGCCTCATGATATTCACTAACTCCCTCCCAAACCATTAATGTTACACCGCCTCCCTCAAGTACCAACACTCACCTACGGCTTCTGGTCTCCTTAGTCTCATTCTCTAAAGTTTACATCATTTAATTATCACTATCTCGTACGTGATGACGAAGCTTTGAAGATAATGATAATATGTTCACCACTAATCAATAACACGTTACTATAACACGAGAGCTGGTACTGTGTTGCTCCGTGTGATATAATTGTTAGTATTTCATTTACAGTTTTTACGGAGTGAGAAAACCGGGAGATTGTTTATTTTTTTTAGTTCGCTATTATTTCTCATGCATTAGTCCTTCTTTGTCCAGTTTTAGTACAGGAGGAAACCCGATTGTACCCAGAGAAAACCTGTCATGCTTGGTTGGGTCACACTAGATGACACTTTTCACATCTGTCTCGTGCTGGGAATCGAACCCAAGACCAGTGAGAGATAAACACTTCACCACTGTTACGCCACCATCCTCCTATTTTCACCAGACTTACGGGATAAAGTCTATCATAACAGGACATGTTTTCCTCCCCAGTCGATAAATTTCTCAATTATAATGGAACTAAAAGGGTCTAAGATGCAGTTGTTCGTATTGATCTTTTATACGCATTTATGGACAGCCACATGGAACCTAGTGACCTCTGATATAAAATAAGTTTAATAAGTTTAAAAATCAAAATAAATTAAACGAATACTTTAAAAATTTATTGAGATTAAGTACCCATAATGCAGTTCAAATTATTCCTCATTGCCCTCGACTTCGTACATACTTTATCGATTTCTTCATAATACATTTTGTTATTCATTCAGTTTTGGTGTGGTTTCATTATTCTTTACGTAATTTTGTGTAACTGAGTATCTTGTTTATCCGACAGAGATCACGTACGATGAGCTGTCCTCGCATCTCGATGATGTAACGGTCATCGACGTCCGGAATCGCAACGAGTTACAGGCTGATGGTCAGATCCCAGGATCCCACTGTATCCCAGGTACTGTTTGAGGATCCTACTGTATCCCAGGTACTGTTTGAGGATCCTACTGTATCCCAGGTACTGTTTGAGGATCCCACTGTATCCCAGGTACTGTTTGAGGATCCTACTGTATTCCAGGTACTGTTTGAGGATCCCACTGTATCCCAGGTACTGTTTGAGGATCCTACTGTATCCCAGGTACTGTTTGAGGATCCTACTGTATCCCAGGTACAGGGTATCCCTGTTTGAGGATCCTCTGCAGGTACTGTTTGAGGATGACTGTATAACGGGTATCTGTTTGAGGGTATTACATACTGTATCCCAGGTACTGTTTGAGGACTGTATCCCAGGTACTGTTTGAGGGTATCCCAGGTACTGTTTGAGGATCCCCAGGTACTGTTTGAGGATCCCACTGTATCCCAGGTACTGTTTGAGGATCCTACTGTATCCCAGGTACTGTTTGAGGGTATCCCAGGTACTGTTTGAGGATCCCACTGTATCCCAGGTACTGTTTGAGGTATCCCAGGTACTGTTTGAGGATCCTACTGTATCCCAGGTACTGTTTGAGGATCCTACTGTATCCCAGGTACTGTTTGAGGATCCTACTGTATCCCAGGTACTGTTTGAGGATCCCACTGTATCCCAGGTACTGTTTGAGGATCCTACTGTATCCCAGGTACTGTTTGAGGATCCTACTGTATCCCAGGTACTGTTTGAGGATCCCACTGTATCCCAGGTACTGTTTGAGGATCCTACTGTATCCCAGGTACTGTTTGAGGATCCCACTGTATCCCAGGTACTGTTTGAGGATCCTACTGTATCCCAGGTACTGTTTGAGGATCCTACTGTATCCCAGGTACTGTTTGAGGATCCTATTGCATCCCAGGTACTAGTCGAGCCTCCCATTGTATCCTAAGCAACTCGATCCACTAGATAAATGTTCATCTTCATCAAACCTCTTAAGAAACTTTTAGATCAAAATAAAAGAAGAATGATAATGTACACAGACACATCTTCGGTGTATCAATGTAAATTCTATACAATAAATCATTTCTTAAAAGAGTTTATATACCAGTAGAGTACCTTATAGAGTTGTTAGAGAGTATCAATTATGAACATCAGTTAAGGTAATATGAGTAAGATGGATTTTCCCATTACAGTGACGGAAATCAAATATGCGTGTGGGCTGGATGAGACGACCTTCAAGGCGAGGTATGGTTTCGACAAGCCTGGACCGGACGAGTCGCTTGTGGTGTGCTGCAAGACGGGTGTCCGCTCCAAGACGGCCTGTGACCTACTCCAGGCCAAGGGGTTCAAGCGGCACAGGTAAACAGCTACATCAACTAATACAAAACTTCTCTGAGCAAGATATGGTTATTGTGGTGAGAGACGTTGATTGTGTGATGTAGATGATAACTGAAGAGTAGAGTCGATAAAAGAATCTTTTTATGTAATGGTTAGTTACTGGAGACACGTCTATGGATTATATAGTGTTAGTGTTAGTGTGAGTGTGTGTGTGTGTGTGTGTGTGTGTGTGTGTGTGTGTGTGTGTGTGTGCGTGCGTGCGTGCGTGCGTGCGTGCGTGCATGCATCTGTGTGTGTGTCTGCATGTGTGTGTGTGACTGCAGTGTGTGAATATGTGTGTTTGACTACTTGTGCCTGTTCATGACTGCTCGTGTGTGCGCGACTGCGTGTGTGTTAATATGCATGGTCATTCCTTGGTAGTCGAGGCTGATTTTTAGTCAAGTTTTGAAAACTGTACAAAAATATATTTTTTGTTGGTCAAATATGGTAAGTCATGGATAGGAAAATTTTCTCGTGATAAACAAAGGCTTTTAATTATAGTGTTATATACAAATAATAATGGTGTGCAGCGAAGCTTCTTACTAGTAGATGAGGTAAATTTCTTTATCACGATATACAAATATTTCTCAGAAAACAGTACCAAACGTCCTTCTTTTAATTTGACCTTAGGATATCAAGCATAACTTTACCATCTCCTGCAGGATCTACCGTGGCTCCTTCAGCGAGTGGGAGGAGAAGGGAGGTGACACGGTCAAGCCAGGACAGCCCCATGAGATAGAGTTCTCGGACAGTGAAGAGGAGGAACAACAGTCGTGTCGCGTCGGCTCGTCCTGCACTCGTAATGGCTCTTCAAAGAGGTCGTGATAAATTTCCCCAAGTGTTGGAGTGACTCATCGTCCCATAGAGGATATTTCAAACACCCGTAAGACTTGTGACAGCTTACTTCAGAATTCATGAGGGTTTATCCTAAAACATGTGAAGACTCGTCCCAAAGTTCATAAAGGTTTATGTTATAACTTCCTAATAACTTGTGCCAGAATTTGTGAGGGTTTATCTGTAAGTTTCATTATAACGTGTGGAGACTTCTAGGTATTTTTTTCCCTTTGCCATTTTTAAAGTTAATGTGACACATCATTTTAAGGATGTCGGGGAACCTGAATTCAATTGCTTCTAAATGTTTGTTTCCATTTATGAGGAATTTGATCAACACAGTACCAATGGCAATATACACAACCAATGTCACTGTGTCGGGTTGTAAGGGAACCCCTGGCTTCATTTACTATGGATGTTTCAAGGGCAGGGAATTACTGTACTATACTAATGGATGTTGTGAAAAGGCAAGAGCTGTATCTCAACAAATGTAGAGACTATCACTACTGTGGTGTATGACATTAATACAGATATTGAATATAAATTGAACCTATTATGTAAGGAGTATGCATATGTGCGAGAGTATGAATACCTGTATAAAGACAGATTCGTCTCTTATCGACTACATAAACGGTCACAAAAACAGAGCGAACGTACACATGGTCATAAAAGTATCTGCACACATTTTGCATGAAGCAATCGATACAACATTGCAAAATGTTATATCATTTGCCAAGAACATTTCCTGTTTTATCCATAGTATTATTATAGTCACACCAGAATAAAAGAGATTAATCTTGTGAACAATGTGTAGTGTGGATCATGGTGGTGGTAATGTTGTGACACGGGTGTAGTGATCATTTAAGAAATCATCGTACCCAATGTGCACAGATACTTTTTTGGTCGTGTGTACAGATCATGTTGCAAAAGTGGACTCCTACAAGTGTACTTAGACTAATGAATTATTATATTGTACTGTATCACGAATACGAAGATTTTGCAACTACAGTACTGCATACAAACTTATGAGAAAATCAGAATACAAGACTGTAATGCTAATGTTTGTGATTGAATGTTCTCAGGTATATTTTTGTAGATATTATATTGTGGTTTCCAGATGAAATTCATTTATTCCAATATACAATTGGACAAATAAAGACGAAACTGTGTGTGCTTAATCCCATATTGGGAGAGTCACGATGAACATACAATTTCAAACATTTTATTTTAGTTTTTCAATTAATCATTCCTGAAGAAGCGCTTGTCGATTTGGAGGTGTTATCAAAGACAGAAATTCTAGGTTCTTCCCCAGTTACAACTCTAAACAAGTTTCCAGCTTCCCTAACACTCCACACCAACATGAGTGACTACACATTGCATTAACAACAAACTGGTGACTGTAACAAGACAACTGATGTCTCAACAAAATGCATTCCACTCGGTGTTATTTTTACTTATGGCAAGAAGACCATTAAAATCAATGGCTAGAAAATAGTGAACTTTAAAAAGAATTAAAACTCGAAGCAAGAGAGAAGTTCTGGTCACTTGTTGATACTGCAAGACCAGCAAGTGAAAGTTAGTTAGCCTAGACATGGAGGAAATAATCACACTTAAGTGAGGAGAATGTGACCCGGTAACAAAGTGGTTTCTTTACATGTTTGGCTCTCTGTTCCTGCCACCAGCTCAGAGGGTGATTTCCTATCAACCTATGAGAACCTAGACAACAGTGGTGCTAAGAGTGGCGTCAATATGTTAGATGAAAGATGCCAACAGTGTTAGAAAGAAAGGTGAAATAACTACACACCAGTCAGTTTACATATCTGTTGGCGACAATGTTCCCAACACTGATGTTACAAACATTCTCGTGTGTTTTTCACAGTATGGTTTACAGCACTGTTGCCAACACAATACCGGTGTGTACTGTATGTGTTTAATGATTGAAACGGCCCTGAATATTCACATTCCGCATACCCTGCAGGCAGTTAATTAGTAGCGATTTACAGATTGCCCACGAGGGGGCTAGTTTATTGGGCACCCCCTTACATACTGTGCAAGGTGAAGCGTTTACAGTGCCCATCTGGAAAGCATGCGGAGTTCATGCTTGCCTTTATGACTCATGCATTAAGGGCGTAAAGGCCTGAAGGGTCATGGGTTTGGTCAGCAAGTTACATGAAGTGACAGAATGATGAGTGTATGGGCAAGCTCAGGGTTGCCAATGTACTAGGCGTGGCGAAGTACAGTGGGGGTGGTGGAGGTGGTGATATGGTGTGGTGGGACAGGTACAGTTGGGGTGGATGGAGACACGTAGGCATTGACAACATTGAGGGACACACCTTTTAGTGTGATGGAGTGTGCGTCGACATGTCGGTGAGGTACAGGTAGCCGGGGGTGATGTCCTCAGATATTGCAGGTCAATATCAGTCCCATTCATTGACAACTGGGACAACTTCTACGGCAGAAGGGACCTTTATGCTAGGGATGGGGTGCACATGTCTAGGGATGGAGTAGCAACCCTGGCTGGGGCTCTAGAGGGGGCAGTTCAAAAGATATCGAAGTCTTTAAACTGCTAGGAGAACATATGAGCACGGGGGTGGAGGAGACTGCTGTGGGAGCGGGTAAACAAAGTGAAAGATTACAGGGAAATAGTGTTAGGAATGATGACAAAACTAAATTAGACGGAATTTAAAACTAAACGCGAACAGTAGAAGTATGAGAAACAAAATGGATGATATTAGGGCCTTGGTATGTACCGAAAAAATCGATATAATAGCATTCACTGAAACATGGATCAACCTAGACACACCTGAGTTACCGGTCGAATACCAAATTGCGGGTTACAAACTGTTCCATACCGATAGGCAGACCAGGAAAGGAGGCGGAGTAGCAATCTATGTTAGGGATAATCTGAAGTGGGAAATAAAAACAGGAATACAGAAACAATTTGGATAGAATTAAACGACGGTAGGGAAAAATTAATCACAGGAATAATATATAGACCTCCCAATCTCGATTGAGTCAATGAGCGACTTATCTGGGATGAAATGTGCAGGGCTTCCATACACAACAAAGTCTGTATAGTAGGCGACTTTAACCTTGGCCAAATAGATTGGACTGACCTTACAGGTAACTCAGAATCAGAGGATTTTCTCGAGACAATCCAGGACTGTTTCCTAAGTCAACATATAACCGAACCCACCCGGGGTAATAATATACTCGATTTAGTTCTGTCAAACAGAGAAAACCTCATTAGCAATGTCGAGGTAGGGAACGAACTTGCAAACAACGATCACATAGAAATTAGATTCCAGTTAGATTTTCAGGGCAGACGTAAGGAAAATTCCACTAAAGTACCAGACTTCAGAAGGGCAAACTTTGACAGTTTAAAGAGGCAGCCGAGAGAGGTGGTGTCGCGCTTGGCTGTGAACCTGACAGATGACACCGACCTGATAACGAGATCTGAGATTGCCGAGTTCCACGACAATTTAAATAGTGAGTTAATTAATGCACAAAGGCAGAACATACCATACAAAAAACTCGGATCAGACAACAATGACCCTAAATGGATAAATAATTATTTAAAGAACATCATTGGCCAAAGGAAGGCTATAGGTAGAAGGATAAATCGTGGCGAAATTCACCTCCGGGATTATTATAGGGTATTGGCGAGTAGAGTTAAAACCGAGATAAGAAAAGTCAAGAGGAATAATGAGGTAAGGATAGCAAGGGAGGCGAAAACTAACCCCCAAAGGATTCTACCAAATGTATCAAACTAAAACACGAGAAAAGATTGGACCAATACGGTCAGACACAGGCGAGCTAATTGATAATGACGGAGAAATGAACAATAATTTGAATAATTATTTTTCGACAGTTTTCACCACCGAAAATTTAAACATGATACCCGGGGCACCGACTCTATTCAGAGATAGTGAAGAAAACAAATTTAGCGAGATAGTAGTGACTAGTAACTATGTTAATAAGCAAATAGACAAACTGAAGCCTGATAAGTCACCTGGTCCCGAAGAGATATTTGCCAGAGTATTAAAGGAATGTAAGGAAGAGCTTCGTATGCCCTTAGCAAAGTTGTTTAACATGTCCTTAAAAAACAGGTGTAGTACCAGAATCCTGGAGGATAGCGAATGTAATACCGATTTTCAAGAAGGGGGATAGATCACTATCCTCTAACTACCGCCCAATCAGTCTAACATCAATAGTAGGCAAATTACTGGAAGCAATCATTTCAAACTATTCGAAATCACCTGGAGAAGCACCGATTGATCAATGATTCCCAGCATGGCTTCACAAGTTGACGTTCATGTCTAACTAATCTATTAACATTCTTTTCATCAGTTTTCGAATCGGTGTACGAGGGGCACAAATATGATGTGGTATATCTCGACTTTAGCAAAGCCTTCGACAGAGTCCCCCACGAAAGACTAATTAGAAAGGTAGAAGCACATGGCATCAAAGGTAATATCCTTAAATGGATTAGGGCGTTGTTACAAGACAGGAAACAGCGAGTGAGCATTAATGGCACTACGTCCCATTGGAGCAACGTCACAAGTGGAGTTCCCCAAGGCTCAGTACTTGGACGATTATTATTTATTATATACATAAACGACATAGATATCGGCATAGACAGCAACATAAGCAAATTTGACACTAAAATAGGACGTGTTATTAAATCTGAAAAGGACTCCACAAAACTACAGGAAGAAGGACTCCACAAAACTACAGGAAGATCTAAACAAATTTTTCGAATGGTCTGAAAAATGGCAGATGAAATTCAACGTGGACAAATGCAAAGTACTCAGTATAGATGTAAACAGGGAAACCAGATACCAGATGAACAACGATGCCATAGAGAAATCCGACTGTGAGAGAGATTTAGGAGTAATGATAAGTAGGAACCTTAAGCCAAGTAAACAATGTATTTTTGCTCGTAACAAGGCTAATAAAGTACTTGGGTTCATACAAAGGAGTGTTAGTTACAAGACTAGCGAGGTCATCCTAAAACTGTATCTTGCTCTTGTGAGACCACACCTGCATTAAGCAGTTCAGTTCTGGTCACCGTATTACAGAATGGATATAGAATCCTTGGAAAGAATTCAGAGGAGAATGACAAGACCTTGATTATAGAGACAGGTTAAAGCATCTTAATTTGCACTCCCTCGAGAGACGTAGAGCGAGGAGCGACCTGATAGAGGTGTATAAGTGGAAGGCAGAGCTAAATAAAGGGGACATTACAAAGGTACTCAAACTATCCAACCAGGAGTGAACTCGTAACAATGGTTTTAAATTAGACAAATTTAGATTTAGGCGTGAAATAGGTAAACACTGGTTTGGAAACAGTAGTGGATGAATGGAACGAGTTACCAAATATCATCATTAACTCGAATACGCTGAATAGCTTCAAACATAGGTTGGATGCTTATATGAGCAATAGGGGTTGGGTGTAAACGGGACTGCCCAGTATGGGCCAATAGGCCCGCTGCAGTTTCCTCCATTCTTATGTAGCCCTGGTAGAGACAACTCAGACACAGGAGTGGGCGCGGCTTGCGGTGGGTGGAGGACAGGTTGAGGCACCACGTGTCGTGAAGATGAGGCAGGACTTCGCTCGGGGGCAGCAGGACACACCAGGGCAGGCACTACACTAGTAGTGAAGGCCGCAGGCGGTGGAGTAGGCTTCAAAACACACTCAAGGGTCTAGTGACCTATCTAAGATAATATTCAGTGATCTTAAAAACAAGATCAATGTTCAGCTTCACGGTCAACATTATGTCTGGCTGTATTAATAAGACCCACCATGTACAGTGTCAAGTTGTAATAAGAACATAAGGAGTCTGCAATAGGCCGGTTGGCCTATGCATGGCAGCTCCTGTCGAGAGTTACTACCACACTCTATCATCCATAAATCTATCTAGCCTCCTTTTGAAACTTTCCAGCGTTCCAGCACTTACTACAAAGTTGCTAAGCTTGTTCCACTCGTCCACCACCCTTCCTATCTCCCTCCTAAACCTAAACTTATCCAGCTTAAATCCGTTGCTCCTAGTCCTATCCTGCTCGGATATTATAAGAACTTTATCTATATCCCCTTTATTGATTCCTTTCACCCACTTAAATACTTCTATCATATCTCCCCGCACTCTTCATCTTTCTAGGGAATGCAAGTTAAGTTTCTTTAACCTATCCTGATATGGAAGGTTTCTAAGTCCCGGAATCATT